TGAACTGTAGAAGTTTATAATGTTTAAGAAAATTGAGTCGCCCGCCAACTGTAAGATACGATCTGTTATTCGATTTCAGCACGAATGATCAAGGTAACTGTCTTTTGGGACAGGAAAGGGTCTTTGTTAGTGGATTTTACGCCAAGAGGCACAATAATCAATTCTAATGCTTATTGTGACCTTGAGAAAACTCCGCCACGCCATACAAGTCAAGCGGCGTGGCCTAATGTCTTTCGGCGGCAGATTTCTTTGAAGTCGGAATTTAAAAAAAATTGAGCGGTATGACAAATGTTTGAACAAAAATGGAAATTATGTATTAAAGTAGATAAAAGTATGTAGAATATGGAAAAAAAAACATATTTCAAAGATATTTACAGTATTTTTCTTCTTATTAAAAAACGGACCTTATTTAAAAAAATAGCCCTCGTATAACTATTGCGATAGATATCCAGTGTAGCAAACATTCACGAATACGGATACGGTTTTGTTACATAGTTTATAACTCGACCCTAAGATTCTAGCGGAACGAGTGCTAAACACTGACTGATGGAACATGAGCAAAATCCAAGACTTCCATTCTCCTTGTCACCCGTTATACGAAAACGTCGCTCGTTAAACGAGTCATTTTCTCACGCGTTATACGAAATATCCGTTATGCGCGGTGCTCGTTAAACGAGATGCCACTGTATATATATATATATACACATACCTTAATCGTGTGTATATTCGAATAATATATATGTATATATAACCGTGAATAACGTGTATATATTTGTGCATATATATATATATATATATATATATATATCTGAATTATGTATGTATTATGTTCAAATTAATCTCCTTAAAGATGTAGGCGGTGGAGCGTAGTGTTATTAATGAATGACGCGCATCATTTCTAGTGTCATTGTTTTACGGGCCTTATAATGTGTCCCTCCAGTTTGCAAACATCACGCTATACTGTTGAGTACGCATTATATATCGATATTCAGGGCAGTCCCGCACGGAAAAATCTAGAGGGGTCGATTCTGGGAAACGAGGTGGCCAAGGAACAGCACCGTATTTTCCTATCGTGAGGTTGCCAAAGCAGCTCTGTGAGCCGTTGATGCTTACACCCGTTTGTTTAGTTATGGCAACGCAACACTTGGGCGATCTGCCTAGGGGGATGCCTTCCGGGAGGTCTTTTTAAGAGAAACTGGCTCCTATTTATGCGTTACAGACGTGGAGAAAACCCGGAAAACTCCACGTAACCAGTCTGTCCGAGCGAGGCTCAAACCCACGATCGAACTCCGAGTATTTAGTGTACGAAGACCGCTTGGTCACTGGTGGGCCGCTTACCACGTCATTGTGTTATACTAAACCTTCTGTAGTTGCGCCAATGACAAGTCATTAAGCCATTCGTCCATCGTCGTATTTAGAATATTTAGATATCGGTCACTATTCGGTGCCTTCAGTGAATATAGGACCAAGAAGCTGCTCAGCCTAAATTCATACAAGATGTATTTGAATAAAACGCAGTTGGTGTCGCGTTTTATTGAAATACACTTGGTGTGAATTTGGGGTGAGCAGCTTCAAATGTTGCATGCATCGTGTTGCATACGCTGTGCAGTCCATAAAATGTACTGAAGGAATTGTGCTAGTCGTGCTGTAAATGTAACTTTACGTTGCGCCATTTAAATCACTGTGCAGCGTCCTCCGCGTGTGTGCTGATTGCAGATAGCAATGAAATAGTTGCAGGTCAAAGCGATGTAATATCTGGTGTACGTGTCCGCTGCAGTCCACAATGTAACCTAACGTAACTTAACCTAACCAATGCTGGAGGTCTCTTAGTACTCACTGAGCGGATAAAGGTCTATGACCAGGGCCTGATTTAGGCTTTTCGAGGCCCTAAGCTGAACTCTATGTAAGGTTATGTGAGGTCCCTTAACGACAATTTTAGAAGTCAACCATAAAAAAGAGAATTAACATAAAGATTAATTTTAATCATGAATCTTTTATTTTTAAAAAGTATTTGCAACATAAAATAAGACACAATTTAAAAAGGGAAACACTAAAAATTTCGTTTTCCTGATTTTTCCAGACTCCTTCGAACTCGAGGCCCTAAGCTACAGCTTACATAGCTTACTTGCAAATCCAGTCCTGTCTCTATGACAGATTATCGCAATAATCTTTGCAATAAGAAACTCCAATGCAGAAAAGATTTTTTTTTTTTTTGTGCTCCTCGATGAATAGATATTTAAGCGGGTATCTATTGATAGCATAAGAATAAGATATTGTAGCATAAGCACAAGAATTTATTGATGAATAAAAAGGTCTTTTTTCAGGCCCATCATTGCTTCGGCCAGACCCACAATGGGGCGACCAAGTGATCTCATATTCTGATAGACCATCGCGAAAAATTCCTAAAATTCGCCTCAGCTCTTCGACCTAATTTTGACTGTATAGATATAGAAGGCTACTCGCGTACCGGCATACCTCTGAGATATATCGGTACGCGAGTAGCCATCTTTAGAAACGTGACTTATTTTTTAAATTTTTTCATATATTTTTTCGGAAAAATAGTAGTTCTCTCGTTATATCGCAGATTCGATATAGCGCGCTTTTTTGGTATCTCAAATTTTAAAGCACTTGAATCAACAAATTTTAAAATATCAATTGCTATTTGAATTGTTTTATTTTTTGCAACAAAATACGGCATTTTATTTTTACGATTTTCCTTGAAACTGCCACTACAGGTGAAACAATAACTTCGTCGAGATCTAAATAGGCAGAAAACATGTGGAGAGATCTATTATAAAATTTGTCTCCTTTTGATATTAAAAGTTGTTTATTTGTTGATTTTAAGTACTGTCTCCTCATTTATAAGTTTCTGTGAATTTGAAATTTCAAAAATTCATTTTTATGTGAATTATTGCTATACCGTCAATTCACATAAAGGTGAATTTTTGTGAAATTTCGAACTCACTGAAAAACGTATTAATTAAGAAAAAGATTTCTGACTGGAAATTCTAAAATTTTTATACAGTAGTAACTTCATTTTGCTTTTTTATAGAATTTTTACTTTGTAATTTTACGTTTTGATTTTCTGTTATATGATCAAAATTTATCTTTTAAATTTTCAATTTTCGTATTTATAATTTTTATTGAAAAACTAGCTGTTACCCTCGGCTTCGCTCGCACAGATTTTGCAAGCAAACCCTATTTATATTCAATATTTTAACAACCATCGTAATTGTTATTTAACACCTACCGCTGAGAATTAAACGAACTGTTTTTAATTTGATAAATTTTCTGGAACGTTCGCAATCGTTCTATAATCGAACCAATATGCAAAAAGAAATTCGAATTTAAAACGGTTCGAACATTTGGTTAAAAAATCGAAATACTGTATATAAAAAATATTTATAACAATATCTGAAATATTATCAATTTATACCCCTAAGTACTCAATGAAGACTAAACGTAATTAAAAACAAAAAATCGCATCTAAAATAGTACAGTAGAAGCCGTTGTTCCGGTTAAGCCTTAATGCTCTCCCCCGCGGGGGAATTTTGAAAAATCCCTTTTTAGTGTACATTCTCATAGCATACCCTACTAAAACGCAGATAAAAACAAAAAATCGCATCTAAAATAGTACAGTAGAAGCCATTCTTCCGGTTAAGCCTTAATGCTCTCCCTCTCCCACCGCAGGGAAATTTCGAAAAATCCTTTCTTAGTGTGCGTTTTCATGACGTACCCTAACTGTGTACCAAATTTCACCTCTAGGTTCTGGAACTTTCTAGAAAAAACTGGAACATTCTCATTGAAGCGTCACACATTTTTGAATTCAACCACTTTCAAACCCCATATCTCTCACACCCTTATAGCTATCGAGACGCAACCACCATAGTGCACGATGAGAGACTTGGGGCTATTACCACACAAACACCATTCATGTGCGATGTGTAGTTTTGGCTGCAGAGTGAAATATAGGCACACACACGTCCATTTATATCTTTATATATATAGATAAAGATATAAATTATGCGAATTTTTAATAAGCGATTTGTTGTGAAATGCAATACAGTAATACCCGAACTTACGCGATAGGTGGGACCGAGCGATAACCGCGTAAGTCGGGATATTATTTCGCAATTTATGTAAAATCCAAGTCGGATGTATGTAAGCTAACAAATTTTCTCGTTAATCTTATCTCGTCTTTTGATTCGTTCACTGTTACAAGAAATCACCACATAGAGTCTCTAGAATCTCCGTAGATATAACAAACACAGAAATAAATAACACAAAATAAATTGTAGCTATGTGTCGATTCCGCGCGACACGTCCGAACATGTAAGCTGAACAATAGTGTGGGGGAGTGAGTAATCAAGAGTTGCGTGGCGCTCAAACAAAAGACGAATCGACGAGATTTGAAAATCGCGTAACTCAGGGTTCGCGTAAGTGGGGGTAGCTTAAGTCGAGGTATTACTGTACTGTATAATAAGATAGCAATTGATATTTTGTTTCTATATCGACAGTATTTGCTTTTAAATGCCATTGTTAAAGAAACAATAATGCTAAATGGGCGTTCTTGATATCGATGTTTACGTAAACGTCCATTAATACGATATAACCCCGAATAAAATTCAGTATTGAAAAACTAAGCTTATTTTATATCAAAAACACTTGCTGATGAATGAATAGAGGACAGAGATTTCATAGCGTGTATAATCTGCTTAGTAAAAGCCCAGAATGTATAGTTCTCGGTTATATCGCGCCCCCCGGATATATCGCGTTTTTCTTTGTCTCCCGACAAGCGCTATATAACGAGGTGCTACTGTAATATGATTTTTATATTTCCAAATAATAATCTCAAATTACTGTATTCATATTTTTATCAAGATCTAGCTTCTGATATAAGCTTATTTAAATTTGAAATACAAGTTTAATTAATACAAGTTTTCTCTTATGGAATTTTAGTAATTAATGATTATATTACATTTGACATATATTTCAGGGTTCATTTGTAATCCGAATGGTCCATCATATCTTAGGAAACGAAACATTTTGGAAGGGTATAAATGTAAGTAATTTTTTTTATATAATTCAGGACAAAATACTATAACAATCCTATCAGTTATGCTAAATACTTATGCCATAGAACCTTGACAAATAGTTCTATTCGGGATCTTGTTGGATGTTTCCCTATTATTACTGGTTGCGGAAAGGCCACCATAATACTTCAAGCTTTTTGGTATCAAAATTATATGTCCACAACTGATAGGAATTAAAATATTCTGTTTATCGTGTGCTATTTAAAAAATTAAAAATCATTAGAATATTTATCTCTTAGCTATCTGCTTTTGTGAAAAAAGAATATTCTATCTTATAGTACTAATAATAGTTAATAAAGTTATTTAGTAGACGTAATTAAAGAATGAATGTCGAAATTATCTAATTAACTTGGATATTTTCAGAATTACCTGACTGCCAATTCTTACAGCAACGTGGAAGAATATAATTTATGGAAATATTTAACAGAAGTAAGTTAAATTAAATTTAGTGTATAATTCTTTCTTATACTACATTGATCAATAAAGATAAGAACAGTCGGTTGATTAAAATTTATTTCAGATAGTGAAATGGATTATAGCTAAATTTAATTTTATGTATTCCAATGTCTTTTTACATTTATACACAAAGTACCGAGTTCTAATATAAACAATAGAGTAATTTTATTAAGAAATGAGTTTCTTAAAGTGTTCAATAATTATAAGATTACTTAAGAAATTGACAGAAAATATTTCCGAGGTTATTTATAAAAGCTAATAACCAGAATGCCCTCTTTTCTTTATTACTTTAAAAATTCTATCCGTCATTGACTCAATCAAATTTTGAAGAAACCCCTAACGAATTTCTTCCTCTTTCTGAATAATTAGTCTTCAGGTCTGTGGTCTATTGTTTTCAATTTGCATACACTGACCTGATCAGAAGTCCCCAGACATTTTCCATACTGTTCAAATCCTGTGACATGACTGACCAATCCATGACTTGATCCCCGTTGGCCAGAAGCCATTTCCAGGTAACGTTAATGGTATGGATGGGAGCGCTATCTTACTCGAAATGCCACTGATGATTTTCTAATCTTTCTCCAATACAAAGTATATGCATTTCTACATGCAAAATATATTCTTTAGCATTCTGCCTTCCTTCAGGAAAGACAAGTTTTGTTTTTCCTCGCTCTTCAAAGGCGCCCAAACAATCACGGAACACCCATCTACTTGTCGTTTGCAGTAAATTTCCCTCTCTTTTTTTAAATCATTCCAATAGTATTTCTTACCCGTGTCAGTTTTGTGCTTGTCTGTAAGATTTGGTTCTAATATTTGGCGTATTTGAGATAATCATCTCAAAATCATCTCAAATAGACAGCAGGAACTTTGTTCCAAATTGTCCTCAAGCTTACTCCATGTTCGAGTTTCGCAGCAATATTTTTGAAAGAGCTTGTTACGTTAGTAATTACCTGCAAAATTGCCCGTTTCATACTAGAAGGAAGTTTTTGCGGCCTTCCAGTACTCTTCTTAACTCCATATTCTTCACTTAACTTTAAATAATTCCTGATCATGCAAATCGATCTTCCTATTTTCTTTTTAATAGACATTATTGACTCACCAGTTTAACTTAACGCACTTATTTCATCTTTTTTCAAACGCTGAACATATTTACTCCTTACTTGTTTTATCCTTTCCGAATTAACAAATGACTTGCTATACAAACAGACGACAATTTTTCGTCTCCATATCAACAATATCAAATAACGGTAGTTTGATGACATAGATTCATAGTTAAACATATTTAAAAATTAACTTAAAATATGTATATGAATTAAATTTCTGAGCCTCAATGTCATTATTGGAACACACAAAAAAATCATTATCTTATGAATAATTAGCGTGCTAATTTATTTAGAATCGTAACTGTTAGTGTACAAGTCTATCTTTATGAAAGAAATAAGTGACAACAATCAGACAGTAATAGTTCCTAGAATTTCAAGTTATTCATAAAATTTTGTATGTTGTTATCTTTATTGAACGCACTGTAAATTACACTATAAATTAACTAATGTGTAGAATTCGTTTAACAGGCACAAAATACCAATTCCAAAATTAATTTAACGGAGGTGATGGCTCCTTGGGTGCATCATAAAAGTTTCCCCATTATTTCTGTCACTAGAGATTACGAGAAGCACAATGCACTTATAATTCAATCTTCTGCATCTTCCGAGAATAATGAGTAATTTTATTTTGTATAATTAAAATAATTGTTCTTATTAATAATTATTCTTAATAAAGTATAACAATAAGGTATATTATGTGTATAAATATATATGCATAAATTTTGCAATACTTTTTCTGGATATAATCAAACAAGGATAAGGAGGATGATTAACTGTATCTGATAAAGTTAATCCTTCAGATTAGATCCAGCGAAAGTATTGTAAAATTTATGCATCTACTGAAGTGATGTCCAACCTTTTTGTTTCTCTGGGCCACATTGGAAGAGGTCTTGGAGTTTTGGGCCATGTGTATTAATATATTATATATAGATTACTTGTAGTCCAATCCTTAAATATACTTGTATATTTAAAGATTAACATATCTAGATTATAGTAATAAGTATTAAAACTTTATCACGGAAAAGAATATTTTAAAAAATTACTTCTACAGACACTTTCAATTTATACTTAGAAATAGATAAATTCGTTTATTGTAAAGGAGACGAACAAAAATTTGTTTGAAAAACACAAATACTTGTTTTATTTGGGTTTCTAATAAAAAAAAAAAAAACATGGAAACACCATTTTAAAGTGCATTTTTATTCAAATAATATATTTATAAATAATATGTAGCCCAAAAAGTAGCCAATGCGCCAATTGATATTTTTTTACGCCAAACTAACAAAAGGGTAGCCAAATTTGGCGCAAAGTAGCCAAATTTTGCAACGCTGGAAGAAATACTAAATAAAGCTGGAGTTGGGACTCAATGATTAGAAACCTAAACGAGAGGAAAAGAAAGAAAGAACAAAAGATAAAGAAGTGAGAAAGGTTGGAAAATTAAGGGTCAATATTTGCATACCAGACGGTCTATTTAACCTTTCTCACTACTTTATATCTTTTGGTCTTTCTCTCCTTTCCCCGAATTTGGGACTATAATCTTTGAGTCACAACTCCAGCTTTATTTAGTATTCCTTCCTCATTCTCACATTTCCAAGTATTTGAAAATATTTCCTTTCCACTCAAAAATAAAATACAGTATGTATAAACTTTGTGAAACTTCTTTTTTGAGTTTATGCCTTTGAAATAAATAAATAAATAAGTGACAAATAAAAAATATTTGTCAGTTTTGTTTACACGTTTATTGGGCCGCATTGGAACTTGCCTTGGGCCGCATGCGGCCTGCGGGCCGCGGGTTGGACACCACAGTAGATTCTACTGTATACTTATTTTATTATCTATATCTATATACATTATATATATATAAATGGACATGTATTTCCCTATATTTCACTTTTTCGCCAAAACTACACATCGCACGTGAATGGTGTTTGTATGTGGTGGTAGCCCCAAGTTTCCATTCGTGCATAGGGGTGGTTGCGTCTCGATAGCTATAAGGGTGCGGGAGATATGAGGCTGAAAGTGGTTGAAAGTGGCTTTCTATTTCGAATGTTTTGTTCGAATTTGTTCGAATTAAATTCGAACA